CCATGGGAGTCCATGACTGATACTAAACATTAACTGACAGCTTATCCCCATAAACAGAGACGAAAAAGACAAGGAAAAGAATGGAAAAGGCAGAGACATACTATGTAATTGTGAGAGAAGGTTGGAATTTGGAAACAAACTCAATTATATTTTGCACATCATGGTGATCGCAAATGACCAATACAGTCATTAATGTACCAGAAAAAGAAATAACAAGAGTACGGGTAAAATAAGGAACATTCCACATATCCCACAAAAAGGCAGACATATCTAGGATCCAAGCAAGTATGCATAGCAACACTTTTTTTGGAGAAAATGAGTGGATTTGAAGGAGAAATTGCTCAATATGAGAACAAATTCAGCCAAATGGAGGAGGGTGATAATGCATGGACACCAATTAATCCTCCATTCAAAGAAGAAGTTTAAGGGTGAGAGAAGTAGAAGGACGTTCAGACAAGATGAAACAGTCAAGATCACAAAACCAGAAACTGCTGAAGTGACGAACGACATCAGAAGGGTCACAGATGAAGTTAGAAAGAATCTGGGTAAGGAGATAAAAGACATTTGTGATAAAAGAGTTGCGATTGGAAGAAATAAGTTCAGTGTGGCAAGACCAGGCTGAAACAATGGATTGATCCAGATGTTTATCCATTTTGGGAAACAGCTGGAAATAAGGATAGGGAAACTATAAGGTTGGAGGTTGGAGGAAATATCTCCAGAGGAAATGAGTTCATCAACAGTCATAGAGTCCTACAACATGGAGACAGGCCTTTTGGCCCAAACTGGTCCATGCCGACCAAAATGTCCATTCACACCAAACCTATTTCCCTGCACTTGGCCCATATCCTTCTAAACATTTGCTATCCATGTATTTTTCCAAATGCCTTTTAAATGTTGTTAATATACCCACCTTAACCACTTTCACAGGCAGCTCATACCATATGCGTACCACCCTCTGTGTAAAAAAGTTGCCCTTCAAGTTCCTATGTATTCTTTCCCTCTTACCTTAAACTGATGCCCTCTAGTCCTCGATTCCCCAACCCTGGGAAAAAGACTGAATGCATTCACCCTATCCATGCCTCTCATGATCTTATACACTTCTATAAGATCCCCCCCTCAGTCTCCTACGCTCTAAAGAGAAAAGTCCTAGCTTGTCCAACCTCTCCCTATAACTCAGTCCCTAGTGTCCTGGCAACATCCTTGAAAATTTCTTCTGCACTCTTTCCAATTTAATAACATCCTTCCTATGGCATGGTGACCAAAACTGAACGCAATACTCCAAGTGTGGTCTCACCAACGTCATGTACAACTGCATCATAACTTCCCAACTTCTATACTCAATACCCTGACTGATGAACGTCACTGTGCCAAAAGCCTTCTTTACTACCATACCTACCTGTGACTCCACTTTCAGAGAACTGTGCACCTGAACTCTAAGGTCCCTCTCTTCCACTACACTCCTTAAGGCCCTACTATTCACGGTGAAACTCCTACCTGATATGACTTTCCAAAATGCAACACCTCACACTTATCTATATTAAACTCCATTTTCTATTTCTCGGCCCACTTCCCCAGTTGATCAAGATCCTGCTGCAATTTCTGATAACCTTCCTTACTATCCACGATACCGCCTACCTTAGTGTCATCCACAAACTCACTAATCATGCATTGTACACTCTCATCCAAATCACCGATATAGATAACAAACAGCAATGGGCCCAGCACCGACCTTTGAGGCACACCACTAGTCACAGGTCTCCAGTCAGACAACCATCCTTCCAGTATTACCCTCTGCTTCCTACCAGCAAGCCAATTGTGCATCCAATTTGCCAACACTCCCTGGATTCCATGTGATCTAAACTTCCAGAGCAGCCTAGCACATGGAACCTTATCAATATTAATTTGTGAGGCATAATCTCCAATGCACAAAGCCATGCTGATTACTCCTAATCAAACCCTGTCTTTCTAAATGGATGTATATCTTATCCCTCAGAATCTTCTCAATATTCTTAAATATCAGAGCTACCACAGATGTTAAGCTTACTGGTCTATAATTCCCAGGTTTGTCTTCGCAGCCCTTCTTGAATAAGGTCACAACATTCACTACCATCCAGTCTTCCAGGATATCACCCGTGGCTAACAATGATGCAAATATATCAGCCAGGGCCCCCACAATTTCTTCCCTGGAAACAATGGCTTGATATTCAGTTTTGAGATCAGGAAAGTGGAAGGAAGTATGAGAGTTCATATTTGGCCTTCAGTAGATGGATATAACAGATATATTAAATTACTCCTGCATAGCCAATACTACCAGCAGTGAATTCTCCTCCACAATTCTCACCAACCTGACTTAGTTAGAAATCACATGACACCAGGTTATAGTCCAACAGGTTTATTTGACAACACAAGCTTTCGAAGCCCCAGTCCTTCTTCAGTAGGAGAGGTAGTATCAGATACAGAATTTATAAGCAAAAGATCAAAGGTTCACACCATTGATGAGGATGTACTAAATAAACCTAAGATGCTGTTAAATTTTTAATCATTTAGAAGGTTTTAATTTATTAATATGTATATGTAAATCCCCAAATTCCTTTCAAGTCACGGTCCTAAGAGGAGAAAAGGTTTTATCAGTGTGAAGAAGAGGTGTCATTTTAGATCAGACAATGCAAGTTAGGCGTGAGACCTTGTTTAGAATGTATCTGTGTTTTAGTTTGGAGTCAGACTGATGTGTTTCTAAAGTAGGAATCTATAAAACGCCATATTAACTGACTATAAAGTGTGCGCTTTTTGAACAAAATAAAATGTATCCGCAAATAGAAATTCACCCCATAGATTCGTGTGTGTGTGTGTATTTGTCTGTACTTGTGTGTGTGCGTGCATGCGTGTGTAGATTAAAATCCCCCATGATACTTTACAGCCATTACTTATTTCTTTGTTTATAGCCCACCCAATGTGATACTTTCTTTGTCGGCCTATAGACCACAGCTCTTAGTAACTTTTTCTTCTTAGAATTTCTAATTTCCACGCAAATGGATTCAACCTTATTCTCCATAGAACCTATAGCATCTCTCACGACTGCCTTCATGTCATCCTTAAATATCAGAGCTACGCCATACCCCTTACCTTCTTGTCTGCCCTTCCAAATAGTCTGATAGCCCTGGATATTTAATTCCGAGTCGTGACCATCCTGCAACCATGTCTCCATAATGGCTACTAAATCATATACATTCGCAATGATTTGTGCCGTTAACTCATCTATCTTGTTTTGAATCCTGTGAGCATTCAGATACAGTGCCTTTATGCTAGTTTTTATACCTTGTTTTTGAATTCTAACATCTCCATTAATAATATCACCTGAGTTTGCAAGTCATCATAGAATCATAGATTACCTACAGTGTGGAAACAGGCCCTTTGGCCCAACAAGTCCACACCAACCCTCTGAAGAGCATCCCCACCCAGACCCATCCTCCTCCCCTTTCCCAGAATCCTGCATTTCCCATGGCTAAAACACCTGATCTACATATCCCTGAACACTATGGGCAGTTTAACATGGCCAATCCACCTAAGCTGCACGTCTTTGGGCTGCGGGAGGAAACTGGAGCACCCAGAGGAAACCCAAGTAGACACAGGGAGAATGCACAAACTCTACACAGACAGTCGCCCAAGGGTGGAATCGAACCTGGGTCCCTGGTGCTTTGAGGCAGCAGTGCTAATCACTGAGCCACTGTGCCTCCCGACTTTTCCTTCCTTTTAACTTCTTTCATACTCTTCGATGTAGTTAAACCCTCCCTGCACAGGTTAACCTGATGCTTTCTTTTCTATTTACCCATCATACTTGCTGTCGTTTTCCCCTTCCCTTCATGATTCATGAAATGATTCATCATTTTTGATTCCATCTTTCTAAATGGAATATATCTTTCTTAATATTCATGAATTATGTCCTCAAATGTCTGTCACTGCTTAACTAGTGCCTTACATTTTGCTTCTCAGTACACTTTAGCCAATTCTTTAATAATTCAAGGCTATTTGAGACTCAAGTTTCTTCCCCTTAAATTGAATGTGAAATTCTCTCATATTACAATCATTCTTTCCTTGAAGATCCTTTACAATGAATTCATGAATTAATCCTGCCATTACAAATCATCAGGTTCAAAATGGCTTCTTCCCTGGATGGTTACACAAGGTATTATTTGAAAAACCTCTCCCATAAGCACCTTTATGAATTTATACTCAACGCTATCTTTGACAATTTGATTTGCCTAATCTTTATAAAGATTAAAATTGCCCACAATTATGGTGGTACTTTTCTTCCTGGCTGATACTATTTCTTCATGTATACTCTGTCCTGCAGTATAACTACTGTTGGGGAAGGCCAATAGATAACTCCCATCAGTTACTTATGTACCTTCCTATTTCTTATCTCTATCCAAACTGATTCTACACCTTGATTGTCACAGTTAATATACTTTCTCAGTATTGTACTGATCTAATTCTTAACAAACAGAGCTACCCCACCTCCTTATTCTTTCTGCCTACAATTTCAATGATCAGTTCCAGCATTGGTCATCCTGCAAACACCTTGTTATAATCTTTGTACCACATCATACCCATTTCTGATATTAATTCATTAATCTTGTTTCAAATGCTGCATGCATCCAGATAAAGAGCCTGCTGTTTTTCTTTTAGCCTATCTTCCCTATTCTGAACCTATTCACAATTTCATTCCTTTATTTGTATGCTCTGTCCCTTTCTATTGCATCAGTTAATCATTTTTATATCAATACCTGCACCAATGCCTTGCCTTTCTCTTTGACATTTCCCTCACTTCATCTACCTTAAAACTCTAATTATGCACCTAGTTATTTAATTTGCCAAGACGCCACTTCGAACGCGGGCTAGTAATGCAAAAATAAGTTTCAATTCCACTAAGGCAGTTTGAGAACCTATGCAAACATAAGCAGATTTACAATATTCATCTGAAACAAGTGTCTCTCACTCACCTGAACAGGTAACTCCAGCATCCTGGCCATGTGTGCAGTTATTCCTCTCTTGTGAGTTAACAGGACACTGATCGAGGGCAGATTCTGTCCCATTACAGCTTATATCAGCCAACCAAATGTCTCCAGTCCCCTGTCCATAGTAGGTTCCTATTGATGCTGACAGGGCCGTCCCACAGTTCAACACTCTGCAGACCACATTCGCTGCGTTTACATCCCAGCTGTTGCCACAAACAGTTCCCCACATGGACTTACGATACACCTCAACTCTCCCAGAACACATGTTGGTACCGTTCACTAGCCGTACAGGTACGCGTCCTGAGTAGAATAGGGAACACAGTTAAACTGGTCATAGATTTTTCAGGGAAGTCATTGTGGGCATATTTTATCACAGGTACCAAACTTCGATCAATATCCAGGCTGATCTTACTTCTCTAATCTCTCCCAAATCAGCAGTTTTGGCAATGATTTGCAACCCATGTCCCAGAGTAATGCTTTTACAATGTGATAATGACACAAGACCCCTGCATGGCGTAAACGTCCTCCCAAAGGCCCAGCAGGACTCAGCAAAGACAGCAGATGCCAGGGGTGGAGCTTTGGTCTTTCCTGCCCTTTGTGAGGGTCTTTGTACCACTCAGTATGATAGTTGGACCCACTGAGATTTCCATAAGCTTTCACATGAATAACAGTTACTCACCCAGTCAGAACATTTTTCTAAACTGGCAGGAAGGTGGTTATTAGGCCAGCCCTACTCACCCGAACAGATCACTCCAGCATCTTGGCTGTGCGTGCAGTTCTGCAAGGAACTGACAGAGCATTGATCGAGGGAAGGTTCGGTCCCAAGACATTTCACTCCCAAAACCCAAATGTCCCCAGTCCCCTCTCCGTAGTAGGCTCCAATCTGTGCCGACAAGGCTGCACCACAGTTCAACACTCTGCAGACTACGTTTGCTGCATTTACGTCCCATCCATTGTCACAAATGGTTCCCCAGATGGAGTTATGATAGACCTCAACTCTTCCAGAACAAATGTTAGTACCATTCACCAAGCGCAAGGGCACAGGACCTGGAACAGTGATGGAAACACAATTAAACTGATTAGAGATTATCTGGATAAATGTGAGGAAATGTACTTGGGTGTGACAAATAAGGTAATGCAATAAAAAATGAACATTGCATCCTGGGAAACACTGAAGATCAGAGGAATCATAGTGTTCACCTCCACTGGTCCCTTAAGGAATCATAAAGTGGTTAAGTCGTCGCATGGATACCTTCCTGTATTAGTTAAGGCATAGAGTTTAAGGGCAGGGAGGTTATGCTGGAACTGTATAAAATGTTGGTTAGGCCAAATTACAGTTTTGGAAGGAGTTCTGGAATCCACATTATCGGAGGGATGTGATTGTCCTGGAGAGGGTACAGAGGAGATTTACCAGGACATTGCCTGGGCTGGAGAGTTTACTTATGCAGAGAGATTGGATACAATATGGTTGCTTTCCTCACAGAAGAGGAAAGTGGGGTGAGGGACATGATTGAGATGTATAGGACAATGAGGGGCATAGATATGGTACACAGAAAGAAATTTTTCACCTTGACAAAGAGATCAGTGACCATGACACATAGATTTAAACTAAGAGGCAGGAGGTTTGGAGCGGACGTGAGGAAAATTATTTTAACCAAGACGGTGGTGGGAATCTGGAACTCATTGCCTGTAAGGGTGATAAAGGCAGAAACACTCATAGAATCCCTACAATGTTGAAGCAGGCCATTTGGCCCATCAAGTCAACACTGACCCTCAGAAGGGCATTCTACCCAGACCTACCCCATCCCTCTAACCCTGCATTCCCCATGGTTAACCCAGCTAAACTGCACAACTCTGGAAACTATGGGCAATTTAGCATGACCAATCCACTTAACCTGCACATCTTCAAACTGTGGAAGGAAACCGCAGCACCCAGAGGAAACACATGCAGACACGGGGAGAATGTGCAAACTCCACACAGACAGTCGCCCGAAGGTGCAAGTGAGGGTGGAAGTGAGGCAGCAATGCTAACCTCTGAGCCACTGTGCTGCTCTTTAGGGAACATTTCGATGCACACTTTCAATGTCAAGGCATACAAGGCTATGAGCCAGGTTTTTGAAAATGAGATTAGAATAATTAGGTAGTTGTTTTTAACTGCTGAAAACCCTTTGTCAGTGCTGTAGACCTCTCTGACTCTATGGATTTTCACTGGAGTTATCAACTGGAGATTTAAGCCCAGATGTTAGGCTCCACCCCGTACTACTGAGCATAAAGGACATGAAAGAATTTACAAATCGGGGGTTGTTCAATCCTGAGCTTGTACTGCCATTCAATTAGATCACGACTGATCTGTATTAAAGCCCCTTCCTCCACACATTCCCCACTGTCTTCAAACTGAAGGGAATGATTTCTCTGTTTCTACACTACTGAAACCTTTAAGACTCTTAGACACCTTGAATAGATCACTCTCTAATCTCCTACATTTGAGGAATTACAAATTTAGTCCCTGCAACCTGTCAGATTATTCTATACCCTAGAATATTTTTGGGTAATTTTTCCTGCATCCCTTCCAACGTCAACATAAGCAAATGCACAGGGTTGGACTAGTAATCCTGAAAATGTACATTCAAATACCCTAAGGCAATTTGAGAAAAATTATGCACAATAGAAGATTAAATTTTCTCACCAAAGAAGGTCACCATACTCACCTGAACAGGTCACTCCAGCTTTCTCCCTGTCGATGCAATTATTCACATCTCGTGGATTAGCAGAGCACTGACTGAGGGCAGACTCTGTTCCAAGACATGTCATATTATAGAACCATTTCTTCCCAGTCCCCTCTCCATAGTCACCTCCTGAGAGTGCTGACAGGGCCCTCCCACAGTTCAACACTCTGCAGACCACATTCGCTGCATTTATGTCCCAGCCACTAGCACAGAGAGTTCCCCAGTTGAAGCGATGATAGATCTCAACTCTGCCAGAGCATATACTGGTACCATTCACTAGCCGTACAGGAACTGGACCTGGAATAGAAGCAGGAATACCATTAATCTATGAGTTTATCAACAGCAGCAACATAAGAACGTGAGAAGGCCATTTAGATACACTGCAAATTCCTACCATTCAATTAGCTCAAGGCTGATTTGTAACTCAGTTCCAAATGATATGCTTTCGCTCCATATTGCTTCTTATTCCTTGCTAATATAAATCATTAGTCTCTGTCTTGAAAGGTCAAACAGAATCCTCTGCTTTGTATAATGTAGTGCTTCCTGACATGACCCATGAACAACCTAGCTCTAATGTAACACCGTCAATTCTTTGGACTTCCAACACCAGAGGAAACTGCTTCTTTTCATCATCTGTCGTCAACAAAGTATGTTGCTGAGAAGCAACTAAGGAAGATTCTGGGAGGAGTTGGCTCAGTCGCCAGTGTGACGATGCTGTCACTTTGTCCAGTTTTTTATTGAAGAGAGATTGTAAGGCAGAGGTGTCGAACAGGCTACTGAGGACAACTTGCTTAAACAACTTATGCAGCCTTGGGTTTCTTTTAAACACCTGAATGGATGGGGCAAGCTCTCACAGATCTGGGGGGTTTTTTCAATAAGATCGAAGCCTTTGGGATTTCAAAAGAGTTGGAGCTTCAGTAAATGTCTTTAGCTGCTATTTTCTCTGAATCTTCTCCCGATGTTTTTTCCTCCTGGATTGGAGAACTCTAAGTGAGAATCTGTGTCTGAATCTGCCTTTTTGCCAAGGGGTGTGTTCATGAGATGTTACTATTTCGCAACTGTTAATTATTAAATGTACTCTATCTACTTTTCGGATAAGTTTTCCAGTACTTAAGTTATTCTAAATTCCTCTTTCTTTTGTTTGTATTTTAACTATAGAGTTTAAAAAAAATTGTCTTGCTGGACATCGAGTAGTTTGACCAGTCACATCACATCTGGAATATGGTACTTCACATCTACCTTTAAAATAAGAAGAAGTTAGGGTCTGGTCTGGTCCCTAACACCAGCGACCACCCAGGAGTGAATAAAAGGGAGGCAAGCTCCAGCTGAATGGCCATTTTGAGAACAGCGGCTTTGTGGTTGAAGTGCTGCTAGAGTTTGAGTGTAGGTTTAAGTGAATATCAGGTTTCAGTGAGGAAGGCGATCAGCAGCAAGGGAAGGCAGTCAGAGGAGGAGTGAACTACTGCAACTGCTGAAGGCATGAAGGCAAAGGAGAAGTAAAAGGATATTAACCTGTGAAGTCACAGCCAGCAGGTAAGTGGTAAGTAGTTTTACTTTTCTCTCATTTTCTCTTGGCTTTGCTGCTGTTATTGTTAAGTTAACTTAAAAGTTAAGTCATGGCATGAAATGCCAGACCTGTGCCACGCTCCTCCTGTGCAATATGGGAATTCAGGGACCCTTCAGATGTACCTGACTCCTTCACGAACAGGAATGTGTCCAGCTGCAGCTGCTGTCTGACTACTTGACCACTCTGGAGTTGTGGCTGAATTCACTTTGGAGTGTCTGCTAGGCTGACAGAATCGTAGATAGCACATTCACTAAGTTGGTCACACCGCAGATAAAAATTACTGAGGAAGATAGGGAATGGCTGACCACCAGACAGAGGAACAATAGGAAGGCAATGCAGGAGATCCCTGTCATCATCTCCCTCTGAAACATTTGGACCCTTTTGGATACTGTTGGGGGAGATGGCTCACCAGAAGAAAGTGGCAGCAGTGAGGTTCATGGCACCGTGGCTGGCTGTGCTGCACAGGAGGGCAGGAGAAAGAGTGACAGAGCTATAGTGATAGGGGATTCACTTGTTAAGGGAATAGATAGGTGGTTCTGCGGGCACAATCCCAGGATGGTATGTTGCCTCCATGATGCAAGGGTCACGGATGTCTCGGAGCGGCTGAAGGACATTCTGGAGGGTGATAATAAACAGCCAGCTGTGATGGTGCATATAGGCACGAAGGAAATAGGTTTGAAAAAAAGGATGAGGTCCATGCTGAATTTAGAGATTTAGGATCTAAACTAAAAAGTGGAACCTCAAAGGTAGTAATCCCGGGATTGCTATCAGTGCCACGTGCTAGGCAATGTAGGAATTACAGGATAGCTATGGTGAATACTTGTCTTGAAGAATGACATTGGAACCATTTCTCGGGAAGATGGGACCAGTACAAACTGGATGGTCTGCACCTGGGCAGGACAGGGACTACTGTCCTGCGAGTGCTGTTTGGGAGGATTTAAACTAATATGGCAGAGGGATAGGAACCAATGCAGGATGTTGGAGGAAAGTAAAGTGAGGACAGAAACAAAAGGCAGTAAGAAAAAAAGTGAAAGTTGAAGGCAGAGAAACCAACAACAAAAATCAAAAAGGGCCACATTACAGCATAATTCTATAAGGGCAGTAAATGTCAAAAAAACAAGCTTGAAAGCTCTGTGTATCAATGCAGGAATGAATTAATTGCACAGACAGTTGTTCATGGATATGATGTAATTAGGATCATTGAGACCTGGCTCCAGGGTGTCTAAGATGGGAACTCAACATCCAGGGGATATTCAATTTTCAGGAAGGATAGATGGAAAAAAAAAGGAGGTGGGTGTGGCGTTGCTGGTTAAGGAGGAAATTAACACAACGGTATGGGAGGACATTAGCCCGGATGATGTGGAATCTGTATAGTTGGAGCTGCAGACACCAAAGGGAAGAAAGCATTAGTGGGAGTTGTGTACAGACCACCAAACAGTAGTTGTGAGGTTGGGGATTGTATCAAACAGGAAATTAGAGATGTGTGCAGTAAGGATACAGCAGTTATTATGGGTGACTACATATTGATTGGACCCAACCAAACTGGTAGCAATGCGTTGGAGGAGGATTTCCTGGAATGTATGAGGGATGGTTTCCCCGACCAATATATCAATGAACCAGATGGAGAGCAGGCCATCCTAGACTCGGGATTGTGTAATGAGCGAGGATTAAGTAAAAACCTTGTGGTGCAAGTTCCTTCGGGAAAAAGTAACCATAGTATGCTAGAATTCTTCATTAAGATGGAGAGTGACACAGTTAAATCTGAGACTAGGGTCCTGAACTTAAAGAAAACTAACATTGAAGGGATGAGACATGCAATAGCTAGGATAAGCTGGCCAAAGATACTTAAAGTGTTGACAGTGGATAGACAACAGCAGACATTTAAAGAACAGACTGATGAATATCAACAATTATACATCCCTCTCTGGGGTAAGAGTAAAACAGGGAAGACGGTTCAACCACAGCTAACAAGGGAAATCAGGAATAGTGTTAAAGCCAAAGAGGAGGCATATAAATTGGCCGGAAAAAGCAGCAAACCTGAGGACTAGGAGAAATTTGAAATTCAGCAGAGGAAGACAAAGGGTTTAATTCGGAAGGGAAAAATAGAATATGAAATAGCATAGGCTTGTAGAAAACATAAAAACTGACCGCAAAAGCATTTATACATAGGTGAAGAGAAAAAGACTGGTGAAGATAAATGTAGGTCCCTTATAATGAAAATCAAGTGAATTCATAATGGACAACAAAGAGATGGCAGACCAGTTGAACAATTACTTTGGATCTGTCTTCACTAAAGAGAACACAAATAAACTTCCGGAAATGCTAGGGGACACAGGGTAGGGCATGAATGAGAAACTGAGTGAAATCCTTATCAGTCAGGAAATGGTACTGGGGAAATTGATGAGATTAAAATCTAGTAAGTCTCCAGGCCCTGATGCTCTGCACCTCACAGTAATTAAGGAAGTGGCCCTAGAAATAGTGAATGCATTGATGATCATTTTCCAGCATTCTTTAAAGTCTAGAACAGGGTAACTCATGTAACCTTTATAGGTCAGTTAACCCGACATTGGTAGTAGGGAAAGTTCTGGAGTCAATTATTAAGGATATAATAACTCAGCATTTGGAAAGCAGTGACAAAATTCGTCCAAGTCAGCATGAATTCACTAAAGGGAAATTAAGCTTGACAAATCTTCTGGAATTTTTTGAGGATGTGACCAGTAGAGTGAAGAAGGGCGAATCAATAGATGTTGTGCATCTGGACTTGCAAAAGGCTTTTGACATGGTTCTATACAAAAGATTAGCAAGCAAAATTAAAGCTCATGGTATTGGAGCTAATCTATTGACATGGATAGAGAACAGGTTGGCAGACAGGAAGCAGAGAGTTGGAACAAATGGGTCCTTTTCAGAGTGGCAGGCAGTGGTGAATGAGGTGCTGCAGGGTTCAGTGTTGGGACCCCAGATGTTCACAATATGCACTAGGAATTGATGAAATATCTCCAAATTTGCAAATGACACTAAGCTGGGTGGCAGTATGTGCTGTTAGGAGGAAGTTCAGAGACTGCAGGGTGACTTGGACAGACTAGCTGAGTGGGCAAATACTTGGCAAATGCAATATAATGTGGATAAATGTGAGGATATCCACTTTGGTCGCAAAAACAGGAAGGCAGATTGTCATCTGAATGGAGGCAGTTTAGGAAAAAGTCAGGTGCAATGAGACCTGGGTGTCATGGTGGAACAGTCGCTAAGGATTAGCATGCAGTTGCAGCAGGCAGTGAGGAAAACTAATGGCATTCTGGCCTTCATAGCGAGATGATTTGAGCATAGGAGCAGGGATGTCTTGCAATAGTTGGTGAAGCCACACCTTGAGTATTGTGTGTAGTTATGGTCTCCTAGTCTGAGGAGGGACATTCTTGCTATTGTGGGAGTCCAGCAAAAGTTCACCAGACTGATTCCTGGGATGGCAAGAGTGACATATGAAGAAAGATTGGATTAGTACAGTTAGATGTACTAATCTAACTGTTAGTACAGTTAGATTGTACTAACTGGAATTTAGAAAAATGAGGGGTGATCTCATAGATACACAAAATCCTGATGGGACTTGACAGGCTAAATGCAGGAAGAATGTTCCTGATGTTGGAAAAATCCAGAACTAAGGGTCACAGTTTAATAATAAGGGATAAGCCATTCAGGACTGAGATGAGGAAGAATTCTTTCACTCAAAGAGTTGTGAACCTGTGGAATTCTCTTCCACAAAGCTATTGGGGCCAGTTTTTTAGATTATATTCAAGAGGGAGCTGGATGTGGCCCTTGTGGCTAAAAGGATCAAGGGGTATGAAGAGAAAGCGAAGTAGGATAGTGAAATTGCGTGATCAGCCATGATCATATTGAATGGTGGTGCAGGCTTGAAGGGCTGAATGGCCTACTCCTGCACCTTTTCTTTCTATGTTTCTATCAACTCCCTCAAACATTGAAATAAGTGACATTTCTTTCATCCTTTGAGCAACATTCAGTTGCAATCACTTGTTGGACCCAACTGAGAGTATTGTACCTAATTCCGACCATCACACTTTAACATTTGCAGAAAGTGGAGAGGAAATTCAGTGGATGAAATGCTTTTTGACAGAATAAATAAGGAAAAACTTTTCCCAGCGGTTGCAGGTTCAATTGGAAGAGTTCACTGATTTAAAATTACTGGCAAAAATATCAGAGGGGCAAATAAAGACATGTGTCTTTACATAATGATTTTGCTGTGATTGTGAACATGTTGCCTTAAAATGCAATGACAGCATATTCAATAGTAACTTTTAAAAGGGGAACTTGATAAATTCTTGGAAAAGATTAAAAAGGCACATGGAGAGTGAGACTGACTGAACACCTCTTTCACAGGTATGATGGGCAGAATTACCACTCCTTGTGCTATATCCAAGTAACTGGACAGGAATATGCAAGGTGAAGGAGCCCAGTGGGCAGACTCTTCCTTGGGTAAATAATAAAACATGAGGCATTTGCCAAAGAGATCAGTTTTACCTGAGCAACTGACGCCAGCATCCTGAGTATGTGAACAGTTACTGCTCTTGAAGGGGTTTGCAAGGCACCGGTCAAGGGCAGATTCTGTCCCACTGCATCGCACACCACCCAACCACATCTCACCATCCCCTTGTCCACGATAAGGCCCAGTTACCGACTTGGCCTTCCCACAGTTCAGCTGTCTGCAGACAACATCTCCGTTGGTGAGATCCCATCCATCATTACAGACCGTCCCCCAGGTGGAATTGTAAAGGATCTCCACTCTTCCTGAGCACATGTTTCCGCCAACCAGTCTGACCAGGAAAGGCCCTGTGAACAAGGAAATTCTAGTTGAGTATTATACACATGAACAACTAACATTGAGTATATTGTGTATGACTGCATTAATATCAAGAAATTATATGTCAGTCTACCCCTCTACAATCTGGCACCTACTTGTCTTTACTTCATCTAACCTTGCTCTGGCCTCCTACCCTTCATTTAAATCTGCATTCTCTATCACACATCTATGTATATAACCATGCAAAATTTCTCATTAAAATATCCTCACTGTTTTCATTCCTCTGTGTCCACACTGAGCAATTTCTCATGTTCAGGTAATTTCAACCTCCATCTCAAATCATTACGATCTGTTTTCTGAGGCTGCTGCCTCCCTGTCTTCAACAATTATTCTACTTCCATTGTTTTTTATTCATTCACAGGATGAGGGCATCACTGGCTGGGCCAGCATTTATTGCCCATCCCTAATTAAGAGCCAACCACATTGCTGTGGGTCTGCAGTCACATATAGGCCAGACCAGGTAAGGATGGCAGTTTCGACTGAAAACAACAAATGCTGGAGATCACAGCAGGTCAGACAGCATCTGTGGAGAGAGAACAAGCTAACATTTCAAGTCCAGATGAGTCTTCATCAGAGCTGAAGTGAAGTATGGCGGGGGGAAGCAGCATTTATTCTTAAAGTTTGGGGGTGGTGTGGTGGAGTGTAGTGTGCTGTGGGAGAAAAGATATTGATAGTTCAGATTAGTTCTTTTAGTTTTACTTGTTTTCGCACATTCTGATCACTTAATCTGAACTATCAACATCTTTTCTACCCCAGCACTCTACACCTGATGACCCCACAAAACCCCCTACAATAGCATAACTGCTGGCCCTCCACACATCACTTCTGATGAAGAGGAGAGATAGTAGGAACTGCAGATGCTGGAGAATCCGAGACAACAAGGTGCAGGGCTGGATGAACACAGCAGGTCAAGCAGCATCATAGGAGCAGAGAGGCTGACGTTTCGGGCCTAGACCCTTCATCAGAAAAGGGGGAGGGGAAGGGGGTTTTGAAATAAATAGGGAGAGAGTGGGAGGCGGATAGAAGAGGGATAGAGGAGAGGATAGGTGGAGAGGAAACAAACAGGTCGAAGAGGCGGGGATGGAGCCAGGGAAGGTGAGTGCAGGTAGGGAGTTAGGAAGGGGATAGGTCAGTCCAGGGAGGACGGACAGGTCAAGGGGGCGGGATGAGGTTGGTCGGTAGGAGATGGAGGTGCGGCTTGAGGTGGGAGGAGGGGATAGGTGGGAGGAAGAACAGGTTAGGGAGGCAGGGACGAGCTGGACTGGTTTTGGGATGCGGTGGGGGGAGGGGAGATTTTGAAACTTGTGAAATCCACATTGATACCATTGGGCTGCAGGGTTCCCAAGCAGAATATGAGTTGCTGTTCCTGCAACCTTCGGGTGGCATCGTTGTGGCACTGCAGGAGGCCCAGGATGGACATGTCGTCTGAGGAATGGGAGGGGGAGTTGAAATGGTTCGCGACTGGGAGGTGCAGTTGTTTGTTGCGAACCGAGCGTAGGTGTTCTGCAAAGCGGTCCCCGAGTCTCCGCTTGGTTTCCCCGATGTAGAGGAAGCCACACCGGGTACAGAGGATGCAGTATACCACATTGGCAGATGTGCAGGTGAACATCTGCTTGATGTGGAAAGTCTTCTTGGGGCCTGGGATGGGGGTGAGGGAGGAGGTATGGGGGCAGGTGTAGCACTTCCTGTGGTTGCAGGGAAAAGTGCCGGGTGTGGTGGAGCTGGAGGGGAGTGTGGAGCGGACAAGGGAGTCACGGAGAGAGTTGTCCCTCCGGAAAGCAGATAAGGGTGGGGAGGGAAAGATGTCTTTGTTGGTGGGGTCGGCTTGCAGATGGCGGAAGTGTCGGAGGATGATGCGTTGGATCCGGAGGTTGGTGGGGTGGTACGTGAGGACGAGGGGGATTCTTTTTTGGTTTTTATTGCGTGGACGGGGTGTGAGGGATGAGGTGCGGGAGATGTGGGAGACACGGTTGATGGCGTTCTCGACCACCGAGGAGGGGAAGTTACGGTCCTTGAAAAATGAGGACAACTGAGATGTACGGGAGTGGAATGCCTCATCCTGGGAGCAGATGCGGCGGAGGCGAAGGAATTGGGAATAGGGGATAGCATTTTTGCAGGAAGGTGGGTGGGAGGAGGAGTATTCAAGGTAGCTGTGGGAGTCGGTGGGCTTGAAATGAATATCGGTTTCTAGGTGGTTGCCCGATATGGTGACAGAGAGGTCCAGGAAGGGGAGAGAGGTGTTAGAGATGGTCCAGGTAAACTTAAGGTTGGGGTGGAAGGTGTTAGTGAAGTGTATGAACTGTTCGAGCTCCTCATGGGAGCACGAGGCGGCGCCGATACAGTCATCAATGTAACGGAGGAAGAGGTGGGGTTTAGGGCCGGTGTAGGTACGGAAGAGGGATTGTTCCACGTAACCTACAAAGAGGCAGGCGTAGCTTGAGCCCATGCGGGTACCCATGGCTACCCCCTTTGTCTGTAGGAAGTGGGAGGAATTGAAAGAGAAGTTGTTGAGTGTGAGGACGAGTTCGGCTAAGCGGATGAGGGTATCAGTGGAGGGGGACTGGTCGGGCCTGCGGGACAGGAAGAAGCGGAGGGCCTTAAGGCCATCTGCATGGGGAATGCAGGTGTAGAGGGACTGGACGTCCATGGTAAAGATGAGGTGTTGGGGACCGGGGAATTGGAAGTTCTGGAGGAGGTGGAGGGCGTGGGTGGTGTCACGGACATAGGTAGGGAGTTCCTGGACCAAGGGGGAGAAAATGGAGTCTAGATAGTTGGAGATCAGTTCGGTGGGGCAGGAGCAGGCGGAGACAATGGGTCGACCAGGGCATTCAGGTTTGTGGATTTTGGGAAGGAGATAGAAGAGGGCAGTGCGAGGTTGGGGAACGATGAGGTTGGAGGCCGTGGGCGGGAGGTCACCTGAGGTGATGAGGTTGTGGATGGTTTGCGAGATGATGGTTTGGTGCTCAGGGGTGGGGTCATGATCAAGGGGGCGGTAGGAGGAGGTGTCGGAGAGTTGGCGTCCGGCCTCGGCGATGTAGAAGTCAGTGCGCCATACTACAACTGCGCCTCCCTTGTCCGCGGGTTTTATGGTGAAGTTGGGATTGGAGCGGAGGGCTGCACGTTCTGCGGGGGAGAGGTTGGAGTGGGTGAGAGGGGTGGAGAGGTTGAGGCGATTGATGTCTCGACGGCAGTTGGAGATGAAGAGGTCGAGGGAGGGTAGGAGGCCTTGGGGTGGTGTCCAGGAGGAGGGAGTGTGTTGGAAGCGGGAGAAGGGGTCAGTAGAGGGAGGGTTAGGTTCACGGTTGAAGAAGTAAGCGTGGAGGCGGAGGCGGCGGAAAAACTGCTCTATGTCCAAGCGTGAGCGGTATTCGTTGATCTGTGGGTGGAGGGGGACAAAGGTGAGCCCTTTACTGAGGACTGACCGTTCGTCCTCAGTAAGGGGTAGGTCTGGGGGGATGGTGAAGACTCGGCAGGGCTGGGTGCTGCTGTCTCCTCTGGAGGTGCTGGCTGTGGAGGCTGTGGGCGGAGCTGCGTCGGCGTCGGCTGTGGGCGGAGCTGCGTCGGCGGTGGGCGGAGTTGCGTCCGCGTCGGTGATGGGCAGACCGGCGTCGGAGGTAGGAGGAGCGGGGTAGGCGGCGGCAGTAGCGGTGAGGGTGGTCGCGACTTCAGTGTCGGTGGCAACGGCAGCGATGGTGTTTGCTGTCCCGGAAGTGGGGAAGCCGGAGGTGGCGGATGTGACGTCATCTGTGGGTTCTCCGATAGTGGCCTCATGGCCAATGGCGGCGGACCCATTGTGGGGAGGGTCCTGGGTACGGCTGGGGATTTGGGGGGTGGAGGAAGCCCGTTTTGGGTGGTAGGCACCAGTAAGTTTACTGTACTTACGGTTTTTAGTGTCCAATAAAGCTGAGTAGAATTGGGAGTTCAGGTTGTGGATCCTACGAAGAATAAAAAACAGGAGAGGTCCTTTGCAGGTCTGGGAGAGGGAGGCTCTGAGCTGGGGTAGGCTTGATTGTAGTGTCTGGAGATGCCGGCGCATTGCTGCAAGTGTGTGTTTCAGGAGTCGCAGGGAGAAACGCTTCTGAAGGATCTCAACACCATGAGTGTAGATATTATCACGGTTGGGGCCAAATTGGGAAGGCTAGAATGTGGACTGTAGTCCATTGGGGATGATCTGGTTCCGTAGGCAGGTGCTAAGGAAGGTGATGTGGCTGTAGTACCTGGTTTGCTTCAGGACGTGGTCGAGCAGTTTCAGGGCCGAAGAGATTACGAGAGAGTTGCAGTGGGAGAGAGATCCCTTGAGGTTTGTCCGGAGGGAGGAGGGTAACTTCTTCAGGTTAGGCATCCTTAGAAGAGGCTTCGCAGTGGGGTTAAAATTGAATCAGAGATAGTAGGAACTGCAGATGCTGGAGATTCATCTAGACTTGAAACATTAGCTCCTTCCCCATGCATGATGTCTGACCCACTGTGATCTCCAGCATTTGTTGTTTTTTGTACAGATTCCAGCACTTGCAGTAATTTGCTCCTACATGGATGGCAGTTTCCTTACCTAAAGGGCATTAGTGAACCAGACAGGTTTTCATGACAATCAATAATGGATTCATGGTCATCAGTAGACTCTTAATTCCAGATTTTTTTAAATTGTATTCATAATCCACCATCTGCTGTGGCAGGATTTGAACCCAGGTCGCCAGAAAATTACCTGGGTCTCTGAATTAATAACCCAGCACTAATACCACTCAGCCATTACCTCCCCTGTCTTACATGTACTCATACACATCCACTTACTCTTGCTAACTTACGTGGCCTCCCTACTCTCATAATGTCAATCACACATAATGTAAACCTGACCACTTCATCATTTGGTAGCACAGAACTTGTGCATTGCTGAAAGAAGGTATATTCCTATTTCTCCTTCCTGTAGCACCTCGATTATTTAA